TGTAAAAAATGGAGCTTGTTAGGCAAGAACTTGAAGCAAAAAAAGAGAATTTGAGGAAAAAGAATTTAAGACTACTAGAAAAGATAGGACAACTAAAATATGAAGTGAAAGCTTGAGAAAATAGACTAAAAAAGGTAATACAAGATTGGGATGTGGCCCAAAATGATGTAAAAGATTTTCATTAAGAAAACAAAAAGATGCAAACCCGATTGAAGAAAAGAAAATGTGCTAGACTTGGTGTTTGGCAACATAGGGAGATAATTAAACTTCAAGAAAAGATACAACTTTGGAAAGACAAAGCCAAAGAAAGTGAGGAAAAAGTCATTAAGATTTTTTTAGAACAACAAAATTGGAAAGGTTTGTATTCAATAACTTCAACAAGGTTCATAGAATGTCAGAAGGAGAATGCTAAATTAAAGGCCTAGATCAAAAATGAAAAGAAAAAGCATTGTGAAATGCAAAAGGAAAAGGAATCACTTTGCCTAGTAATTCAAAAGATGAAATAGCAATTATGAGACCACAAGAACCATATTTCCACAATCATAAAAAAATGACAAAATAGAGAAGAAGATTGGAGGTACACTTATGATCTCGAAGTGGATGCTCACATAAAGTGAAAGGCGAAGAGGTTGGGAAGGCAATAATATGTAGAGCATTTGGCTAGTCAAATTTGCAAGGCAATAAGGAAAGTAAAGGAGATGGTCAAGAGGGTAAAAGCTTTGATACAAAAAATCAACCCAACTAAAAGTTATGGGCAAAGTTTGTTAGATTTTTTGGTTGAAGCTAGGGATCATTATGGGCAAATTAAATGTTTATATGATTACAATTCTAGAATGATAGACTCTGTAATCAAAAGTTATTCGAAATCAATCAAAAGTTCTAATGTTTAAGATATGTCTTGAAATAAATACCTCTCAATGCATTCATGCATACATTATGATATTTTTTCCCTCTCTCAATTTTTACCTCATTAAAATGATGAAATAAAGATTGCTTTTGCTTTCACAAAAGTAATATGGCATCCTAATTTTTCAAATTATGGTAATAAAAGTTTAAGGATAGCTCAATCATTGAAAGTTTAGAATCAATTTGCTCGCCACCCATACAATACACGATCACATATCAGAATTATAAAAAACGAGCAGGCAGCCAAGATAGAAAAGATGACAAAAACTCAGGAAAATATGTGAGAATGGATGATTAAAATACAAGAGAAGTTGCAAAGATAAATGATGGAGTTAAGAGAGTTAATGGAAGGCATAGCCAAAAAGAAAGGTGTTGCTGAAACCTCTACTGCAAGAGAAGAAAATTAACCTTAAGAAAATAGCAATGTCAAAGAAGAACCACTTTACCCACCGGAGTATACTCCACCCCATACTCAAGCTCTTCAAGTGATGTATCCACCACTTATGGGTGGGCAACCTTACCCATTCGTGAATGTGAACTTACCGATTAATCAACAACAAAATCAAGGGCAATTAAGCAAAATTCAAGATCTAATCTAGTTGATTCAATTTTTGTTTCTAATTTAGATGATCCCAAAGAGCAAGAAAAATTAAAAGGCATGTCAAAGTCAAGAGAGAAATAAAAAATTTAACACAAGTATGACTTGTTAGAAGAGAGACCAAAAGCCATTGAAGAAAGGGATATCTTTGGAAGTATTATTGCAAACGAACTTAATTTAGTCCATGATCTAGTAATTCTATTAAAGTTTAAAACCCTTGATTTCGAGAAGTATTATAGAACTAAGTGCCTATCAACCCATCTCACAATGTTCTATCGCAAGATGGCAGGTTATACTAACAATGATAAGCTTTTGATCCATTGCTTCCAGAATAGCCTAACTAGGTCTACGACTAAATGATATGTCCAACTAGATAAGAGTTGCATACATTCTTAGAAGGATCTTGGTCAATACAAGCATGTATCAGACATGACTTCTAATAAGTTGTCACTGCAAAACATAGAAAAAAAAGCCAATGAAACTTTCAAAAGGTATGCCCATAAAGGGAAGGATTTTACCACTTAAGTACAACCATTTTTGACTAAAAAAAAAGATAACGATGCTTTTCATCAATACTCTTAAAACACCATATTATGACAAACTTGTTGGCAACGCAACAAAAAATTTTACAAATATGGTAATTTTTGGTGAAATGATAGAAAGTGTTATCAAAGTGGCAAGATCGAGATAGGTAACACCTCTAGTTCTAAAAAAGCAATGCCCCCTAAGAAGAAAGATGGAGAAGCACTTGCTATGTCCTATGGGAATCAACCACCCAAAAATTTTATCCCATATCACCTATATCCAACCTACCCACCTTATTACCCTACCACAAATAACATTTCCTAAGTTCCATACCCATATCAATTGATACCACTACCAAGGTTCCCACAGAGTTTTCACCTTCACAGCAACCCAACCTATTGTTCAACCAAATAATTCAACAAGCAATCCTAGAGGTTCGAGGGCCACTCAAGAGAAAATTTTCATTGACCCTATTCTCATGTCTTACACTAATTTGTTCCCTCAATTAGTAGCAAATCATCTCATTACACTTCACCCTATAAAACCATTGAAACCTTCATACCCTAGAAGGTATGATCGAAATGCTCGGTGTGATTATCATGTGGAGATTGCAAGCCATTTCATAGAAAACTATATGGCTCTTTAAGAATAGAGTGTAGCACTTTATCAATAATGGATATGTAAATTTTAACACAAGTGAAAAGTCAAATGTTAATGAAAATCTTTTACCAAACCATGCTGGGCCTACAATCAATGCAATAAATGATAGTATGGTAAGGTACATTAAGAGAACCATTGATAAAGTTAAAACTTCGATGGGTTAAATGTTTGAAAGCTTAGTCAAAGCCAACATGCTTCATCCAATTCCCTCAGAACAAGAAATTCATCATAAAGATTATAACCCAACCCAAACTTGCATTTATCATATGAATATGGTAGGACATTTTATTCAAAATTGTGGCATGCTTCGCCAAGTGCTATAAACAATAATGGATTCTTCGTTAGTAGAGTTTTATGAAAGAGATTATCAGAATATGATGAATGCAACAAAATGAGGATCTTTAGGGAGTATACCCTCTAAGTTTGTGCTAAGATAGTGATGATTTACTGTAATGAAAAACTAGGTGGAGTAAAAGAGCAGTCTATGATGAATGCAACAAAAAGAGGATTTTCGAAAAGTATGTTCTTTAAATTTGTGCCTAAGTTAGTGACTATCATCTGCAACATAAAGCCAAGCTTGGTGAAAGAGTAGCCCATTTGTTTTCCCATGAAACCTATAACAATTCAAGTCCCTAACCCATTCTTTTATCATAGTAACAAGGTAATGCCATAGAAGTATGATTATAATATCATGCAATAAGGATCAAATGACTATAGGTTGCAAGTGACCTAAATGTCACTAACAATGCAAATATAATCGAAGTAAGAGGAATGACATGGAGTGAGAGATGTTATACTCCAGAAATGTTAAAAAAAATATGAAAAGGAAAAGCTAAGGAAGGAGAAAAGGTGTTGGGAAAAAGAAACAAGACTAATTTGTTAGTGGCTCAAGATGCACGATATAAGGAACTTATCACTGAAAGAGAAGCCTATGAGTTTCTAAAGTTGATTAAACATAACAAATATAGCTTAGTGGAGTAGTTAAACAAGATGCCCACCTGAATTTCTCTATTATCACTATTGTTAAATTTTGAACCACATCAGAATGCCCTACTAAGAGTGTTGAATCAAGCACATGTGGATCGTAATATCTTTGTTGAGAATATTGGCCATATTGTGGGGAGTATTATGGCTTCAAATTTTATAACTTTCAATGATGAAGAGATTTCACTAAAAGGTCGAGGTAGCATCATGGCCTTTCATGTCATTATTATGTGCAAAGGCCATATCTTAGCTAAAGTTCTTATTGACAATGGCTCTTCAATCAATGTCTTACCCACAGTTACCCTAACCAAATTACCCATTGATGCATCATATATAAAGACCAACCATATAGTAGTGAGGGCTTTCGATAAGTCTCAAAGGGAGGTGTTAAGAGACATCAAGATACCGATGCAATTAAGGTGATGTACTTTTTGCATAAACTTATGGAAGAACAACTTATTAGTGTTTCTAAAAAAAAAACTTGTTGGTAACCAAGCCTATGACTACTCCATATGTGGTGGCTACAAAAGAGGCATTGGAACACTCTTTTAGATCTTTTGAATTTACTAATACAACTTTATGTAGGAGAATGATCGAAGGTGCCCACCCTACACTTGTCAATTGTAACTGAGAAGGTTGTCAAACAAACACTTGGTAAAGAATGGCATCTTGGATATGACCTTGAGAAAATTTTACAAGGAATCAAGGAGCCACCAAGGTTGTTTGAAAATAAAAAAAAGGTTTGGATTGGGATTCAAGGTCACTGTGGCAGAAAAAAAGAGAGAGAAGAGATTGGTAAAGTTTAAGGGATATAAGCCAAAGTACAAGAGAATGATCATGCCTTACCTCTATGATACATTTCTTTTAGACGGATGTATCCACCTTGATCCACTGGAGGTCACATAAAGGGAACCTATGCTGAACATAGAAGAAGCTTTTTTTAAACTCTATATTTATATGGTAGAAGATACAAAAACAACAACTAAATGAGAGAAGCTTCTTGTCTATCCATGTCATTGGGGTAAAGAACTGAATAATTGGAAAGCAATAAAGCTGTCAATTATCCTTAAATCTTTCAAAAAGTAATATAATGAGTTAATTTCCCCCAATGCTTTTGCCCAAAAACATTTGTAGGACTTTTGTACGGGCTTATTTTCCTTTATCATTTCAATAAAATGACTAGTGTTTTGCATTTTCATTTCCCCTATTATTTCATTTATTCAAAGTTTCAATTTCTTTTTATTTTTCTTTTACTACACATATGCCTACATCCTTTCAATTTTTCTTAATTTTAGATTTTCAAATAATGAATACAAGGATAATCACGATGATAATCCAGGTTTGGCTTTGAAAAATTTATTCATGTTGATGAACTTGATAATGAAAAGGATTTGGATAAGTACAAGTTGTCCCTTGATTTATTAAAACTAATGGAATAAGAAAGGAAACAATTGAACCTTATGAGAAAGCTATAGATGTAATCAATTTAGGTGATGGGGAAAATAAGAAGGAGGTTAAGGTGGGCACATCTCTTTCACCCATAAAAAGAGGAAAGTTAAAAGAATTACTTCATGAGTTTGTTGATTTGTTTATATGGTCATACCAAGATACGTCAAGACTTAGTTCAAATATTATAGAACACCAATTGTCGTTGAAGCTAATATGCAAGCTAGTGCACTAGAAATTAAGGCGCATGAAACCGGATATGTTGTTAAAAATCAAAGAATAAGTGAAAAAGCAATTTGATGCAGGTTTTTTGGAAATAGCCAAATACTTGGAATAGGTAGCTAACATAGTCCCAGTTCTCAAAAAGGATGAAAAAGTTTGGATATGCATGGACTATAGAGATTTGAATAGGGCTAGCCTGAAAGATAATTTTTTTTTTTTGCGTCGTATTGACACTTTTGTGGACAACACTGCTAAACACTCTATATTCTCTTTCATGGATAGTTTTTCAAGATATAACCAAATTAAAATGGCCCCTTCTGATATGGAAGAAACTACGGTTGTTACAATCTGGGGCATGTTCTGTTATAAGGTTATGCCTTTTGGATTGAAGAATGCAAGAGCTACTTATCAAAGAGCAATGGTAACCTTTTTCCATGACATGATGTGCATAAGAAAATGAAGGTGTATATGGATGACATGATTGCAAAATCTCATGAGGGGGCAAACCATGTTACCAATCTCAAGAAATTATTCGAAAGATTGTAGAAATACCAACTTAATCTAAACCCAGCTAAATGCATGTTTGGTGCTAAGTTAGGAAAATTTTTAGAATTTATGGTTAGTGAAAAAACAATTAAAATTGACCTAGATAAGATACTCACTATCTAGAACTTATCTCATTTACACATGCAAAAGGAAGTAAAGAGTTTTTTGAGAATGTTGAATTATATTTCCTATTTTATTTCTCAACTTACTTCTAAATGTGACCCAATTTTCAAGTTGCTTTGAAAACATGAGCTTGGCAAATGGGATGAGGAATGTTAGCATGGCTTTGAAAAGATTAAAAAGTACCCATCAAATTTGTTAGTGTTGATACCATCTATTGTAGGGAAACTATTGATTTTGTATCTCATCGTGCACAACCATTCTATGGGGTGTTGGGCAATGAGATAAAACAAGTAAGAAAGAGCAAGTTATCTATTACTTGAGTAAGAAGTTCACTGAATATAAGTCCAAATATTCTCAATTGGAGAAAATGTGTTGCTCATTGGCATGAACAACCCACAGACTTAGGCAATATATGCTATAGCATAGTATTTAGTTAATAGTAAGGTTGGATCGTTTTAAGTATATTTTTGAAAAACCATCATTGTTAAGAGGTTAGCAAAATGGCAAGTTATGCTCTCTAAATATGATATTGTATATGTTGCGTAAAAAGCGATCAAAGGAAGTGTGATAGTTGAATTCCTTACAGAGCGTGCAACTAATGAACATGAGCCTATTAAGTTTAATTTCCCTAATGAAGATTTGATGAACATTTCCCAAATTGAAGAGGGTGAACTGATAGAAAAGCCATGGAAAATGTTCTTTGATAGAGCTTCAAATGCTTTACGGCATAGAATTGGAGTAGTTTTGATATCCTTTAACTGAAATATTATCCAAGCATTGCAAGGTTGGATTTTAATTGCACCAATAATGTGGTAGAATATGAAGCATGCATAATGGACCTAAAAATGGCAATTGAGAAAAATATTAGAGTGTTGAAGCATATGGAGACTCGACCTTGGTAATCTATCAACTATGAAATAAATAGGAAAAGAGAGATTCAAAGTTGATACAATACCAAAAGTATGTGATAGATTTAATCAAACAGTTCAAAAGGGTCCAATATCGACATATACCTTGAAAAGATAATCAAATGACTGATGCTCTGGCTATATTGGCTGCATTGTTTAAAATGAGTGATAAAATGGAAATTCAACCTATCTAGTTGAATATGTAAGGATTATCGGTGTATTGCTCAAATGTTGAGGAAGAGATTGATGGCCTGCCTTGGTATTATGACATCATGTAATATGTCAAGCACTAATAAACCTGAAACACGTGTCAGAAAATGACAAACAAATTATTAGAAGATTGGCTATGGGATTTTTCCTCGATGAAGAAATTTTATACAAAAAAAGTCAGGATAAAATGTTATTAAGATAAGTGAATTCTATTAAAGCAAAGAAGATATTTGAAGAAATGCATGAGGAAGTTGTAGAGTACATGTAAATGGTCATATGATGACTAGACAAATCATAAGAGTGGGCTATTATTGGTTAACAATAGAGAGTGATTACATTAACTATACTAAAAAGTGTCATAAATGCTAGATTTATGTAGATAAGATTCACGTTTTTTCAATTCCTTTACATGTTCTCGCAGCTCCATAGTTGTTCTTCATGTAGGGAATGGATGTGATTGGACCCATCACTTTAAAAGCTTTAAATGGACATTGATTCATCTTTGTAGTGATTGACTACTTCATAAAATGGGTCAAAGCAGCTTCTTATGCTAACATAACAAGGGCAATGGTATGCAAGTTTATAAAAAGGGAGATAATATGTCGTTATGGTCTTTAAAAAAAAATCATCTCTGATAATGCTCACAATATGAATAATAAGATGTTAATGGAGGTTTGTACTTAGTTTAAGATGAAGCACCATAATTCGGCTCCATATCACCCAAAGATGAATGGGGTGGTAAAAGCTTCCAATAAAAATATCAAGAGGATAATAGAAAAAATTATTGATACCTATAAGGACTAGTATAAGAGGTTACTTTTCGCATTGCACGCTTATAGGACATTAGTATGCACATCTACTAAGGCAACTCTTTTTTCGCTTGTATATGGAATGGACGTCGTGCTACCAATTAAGGTGAAAATTCTTTCTTTGAGAGTATTGATGGAAGTAGATTTGGAGGAAGCAGAATGGGTTTAGAATCATTATGAATAATTAAACCTCATTGAAGAGAAGAGGTTCACAGTTTTTTGCATGGTCAGTTGTACTATAAAAGAATGATGTGAGCACATGACAAGAAAGTTTGACTTAGGCATTTTCGAAAGGGAGAATTGGTTTTAAAAAAAATTCTTTTAAATCAGCATGATGATAGATAAAAATGGACACCAAATTGGAAGGGTCCATTTGTAGTCAAAAAAGCTTTTTCGAGAGCATTGATCTTGGCATAAATGGATGGAGATGACTTGCCAAACCCAATAAACTCAGATGTTGTGAAAAAATACTTTACTTGAGAAAGAGACAAAAGAAAAAATCACAAAAAAAGAAAAAAATGAAAAAAATGAATGAAAAATAAAATAGGACTCATGATTAATAACCAAAAAAGAGCAGTTTGAGTTAAAGGAAAGATCTGAGTCCAAAACCTGAAAAGGTAGCTTAAATGCAAAAGAATATCAATTTTCAAGTATAGGGGGTAATGTCAGTACAACAAACTCGAAAAGATCAAGTGCAACAATGGAATAGGTTTTTAAAAGAAAGAATTTTGGAATGTTATTCATGATTGTCTGAATATTTATTGTCTAAATATGATTCCCTTATCTATATTTTGTACTAGTGTTCAAGTTTTTCACTTGACACATCCTTATACCTTCCTATAATAAATATTCATCTTTCTCTAATTTATCTTGCTTTTTTATAATCTTCATTCTCACAAATAGAAGAAATGCTAATTCATCACACTGGTCATGAAGTTTGGAATATGATAAATGATTGATAATATTCATAAAAGGTTTTACATTATTTTATGAAAATGAAGGATAACAAAGTTAAAATAAAAGATTAGGAAAAAAAGGGAGATTTGGAAAAGCACCCATTTTCAAACTCATCAAATCAAAGTAAAACTTCATTGAAAGTGGTGTCGAATAATGATATCAACAAATGATTATTGTAGTTCACAAATAAGTAGCTCCTAGAATATACAGATCAGGATTGAGATTAGTTATTTTGGGAAAAATGAAAAATTAGAAAAGATTGACTTAGAGAACCTTGTTACCATAATTTGGACGTGTCATATTGGTTTCTAATAATACTTACATCACATGTATTGCATTCATGAATTACATTCAATATATTTTTCAAAAACATAAAAAAAATTTGGTAGGTCAACTCATCTCGTAAGCCTAGAATTAGCTAACCTGAAAGTCTAGATAAGCTGGCACGTAAATTCAAACCAACAATCATCTTTATTTTTTGACTTGTAGCTTTGTCCCAGTCACCTTTATTTATAGCTGGCAGTTTTGTCCTGGCCATCATTGTTCTTGACTTGTGGCTTCATCTTGATCATATTTATTTTTTGATTTGTGACTTCTTCTTAGCCATCTTTATTTTTTTATTTGTAGCTTCTTCTCAGTTATCTTTTTCTTTTACTTGCAACTTTGTCTCGATCATCTTTATTTTTTGACTTAAAACTTTATCTCAATAATTTTTATTCTAGCTTATGGTTTTATTCCAGTCATTCTTGTTCTTGACTTATGGCTTCGTCCTAGTCATCTTTATTTTTTGATTTGTGGCTTCGTCTCGATCATCTTTATTTTTAACTTACGATTTCATCATAGTCATCTTTGTTTTTGGCTTGTGGTTTTGTCCCGATCATCCTTGTTCTTGACTTGTGGCATCATTCAGGTCATCTTTATTTTCCAATTTGTGACTTCATCCTGATCATCTTTATTTCTAACTTACGGCTTCATCCTAGTCATCTCTTTTTTTTTACTTGTAGCTTTGTCGTGGTCATATTTATTTCTGGCTTACGATTTTATCATGGTCATCCTTGTTCTTGACTTGTGACTTCATCTCGGTCATCTTTATTTTTTGATTTACGGCTTGTCTCAATCATCTCTATTTTTTACTTGCAGCTTCTACCTGGTCATCTTTATTTTTGGTTTATGATTTTTTCCTATTCATTCTTATTCTTGACTTGTGACTTCATTTCGATTGTAGACACCTTATTCTATTTGAAAGTTTCTCAGGCATCAAAAATAGACATTTGATCATAGGTTGGCCCCAATTGTGAAACTTTGGGGCTAACAGGAATTTTTTAATTTTATTTTTATTTTTCTTAAAAGTCAAAAGTAAAAAAAAGAAAGGAAATCAGAATATAGGGAATTAGGGATTTGATCTCAAAGTTGATTAAGGATGATTTTTTGGCTTAATTCATACAATCATTGCAAAATAAAAAAATCATACAATTAATCATAGATTAAAATCAAATCACATCCCAGATTATGTCACTTTATTTTTCAAAATTAAAGGGATTCAATCCCTATAAATGAATAGAAACCACACACAAACAAGGGGAGAAAAAGGATTATACAAAAAATCTTAAGAAAAAAGAGGGAAAAACCATTAAAAAAAAAGATACGGTTTCTGGCTGTAGGTTTTTTTGAAATTCTTTGCAGAATATGGAATTATGAGGATTTATTCTAGTAAGTTGCCTCCCCAGCCACCTTCTAAGTTGATTTTAGGTATTTTCTTTTTTATTCTTTTAACTATTTTATTTATTTATTTACTTATTTATTTATATATTATTATTTTTTAATATATTTTTATGTTTAAATAAAAATATTACCAATAGATTGAAAGGCCCATGTTTTTAAAAAATAGTGTTTTACCAACATATTAGAGAGCCCTATAATTTTTAAAAAATAAGTTTTTAAAATAAAAAATTAAAAAATGATTTCCTATTTTATTTTGCATAAAATCTTACTAGTAGATTTGAGGATAATTTTCAATAGAAAGTCTTACCAACAAATTGGAGGATAATTTTTTTATTATAAACAAGTTTATAAATATTAATTTCTAAAAGCAAAATTAAATGAATCCGATGATAAAGCCTCTTTAAAGCGTGAAAATAGTCTCCTTGAATACTCTTGATATGAAGAAATATTCTTAAATTATTACCAACATATTAGAGTAATTTAAGGAAAATTTACAATATTAAATTATTTGGTAAATTTTAAATATGTTCTAAGGCTTGGATAACTTAAAATCAAACTAGTACCATTTTTTGGATGAGTGTTGTGAGGGTGTTATAACCTTCTCATGCATAACCATACTCTCGGACCTAAATTTTGGTTTCATAGACTAGAATATACTATTTAAAGATACCTAAGTTAATCTTGGGACTATTCTTTAAATGAAATAGATTCTGTTAGGTGATCATTCACACCTTAACAAAAGAAGATTATTGGTAACTCTTTTAGTCTATGTCTAGCGATAGGTCCATGGATATATCCGTTATGATAGTTTGGCTACTCTGTTAGGGATATTAAGAGTCAAGCCAATAAATGATTTCTTATTATCCAAGCCTAACCTAATAAGTTTAAGATCTTTTTTCCTTTCTTGTTTGTATTTTATTTGTTTTATTTATTTATTCATTTTATATCTGTCATTCATTTGCACATGCATAACATGAGCTCTACACCCAAGTTCTGTCCTTTATGAGGGAGTAAAGTACCTATGCCTTCGTGAGATTTTATGTCTCCACATGGGCTAGTGAAACAATCCCAATCAAATTGAACTATTTTCAGCTTATAGCCTATAATGGGTAAGGATTGGGATACCTTATTAGTCTATAACGGACAATGATATAAG